GGCCAGCAGCCGCTCTTCACTCTCCTGGCCGGGCACTGATTTCTCTCAGTTTACAAAAGCCTTAGGAGGACGCAAATGTCCTTGTTCCTAACAGCCTCGAGATGGTAGGTGGGAGGCATTACTTATTAACCGATTGTTGAAATGGATTAAAGTACTTGCCACTTCAACAGCGGCATTGGCCACTTCAAATGGAAACACGTGAATGTGTAATTAAACGTGCGTGTACGTCATTCACAGGCGGGCGGACACTCTTCCTCCATTTCTGTGCTGTCAATGCAAGTTAGGATTTAACGTACTTCAGTAGATGCGATCTGGAACTCCGTTTTTTTTTTGTTGTTTTAATAATCGCAACACTTATTTGCTTGGTGAATTTACCTCTGCCAACATCGCCGACTTGTTGTGCAAGCAGACTAAACACTTTTCCCGTGAAATTTTCCCATCTTTTTGCAAAATAACATAGGCGTTGATGAGATCTTGATCTTGGTAAAAAAGGTCGGCTCGGGGATGCTCTGGTGTTGGTAAACGGGTCTGTAAATAATAGTAAGGAGTGTGAATTATTGTTATCAACGTTCTCCAAAAAAAGACCTTCAAAACAGAAATCTATTGTGATTAGGTGCCCCTCCTGTAAATGCAGTACAGAAGGCCACAGGTTGTGGGAACTGCATCCTCATCACAAGGCTTTTTAAGCAGATACGAGGCTAGTAATGTGGAGAGGTGCGATATCACAGTTTGACATTCTTTGTCAATGCTCTGCATTTGGCCGACTTCGCCCCAAAAGTTCAACTCCGCCTAGGGCAAAATGTGAAAGTGGAAGAGCAGATGGCTCTCAACATCAAAAACAATTGTATTCGTGGAGGTCACAAAACGCTTCGGTCTTTAGCCTTGTGGGTTTGGGAATGAGCCTTATGGGAATGTAATTATTTCAGTGCACCTAAAGGCTACAGCGCGGGGATAGAGGAGCTCTTCCAACACGAAAGATGCAGTTCCAGAATAAATATAGTCGAGAACTTGTGCCTAAAGTGTATCGCAGGCAGCAGGCACCAGTTTAGACGAATGGCAAATCCTCCTCCAAAGACAAAATAGGAGGTATCGCTCTGACGAAGTGATGTGTCGTTGACATTCAGGAGGAATTTGGTCCACTCACTCCACCGCGGAGCCAAGCTGTCAGGTTGGAGCTCATTGAGATTTGTCCCCCACGTCCATCTTAGTCAACCACATTACAGTCGATGCCTCAAGGAAACAGCCCCACAGTCATCAAAGTTCCCTTTCATTCGGATGGTACTTAATGTCAACAGGTTCTTAAGTTTCATCCCTTGTGGAAATCGAATTCCGGAGAGCGAGGAAACGTTTTGACCATTACATTTGTCCGTCACTGGTCGTCGATACACTTCCCCAAAGGCAGTGTCATGTAACAAGAAAGAGGACTTATAATCGTTCCCAGGGGAGTGAGTATTGCATTCATTTCTTCCCTCCATTTTCTTCCCCCACTTTCGACACGTCTAGCAGCATCTTACTGGTTTCTTCCCAACTGATAACTAAGTGTTCATTTGTATGAAAACTTCATGGAGGAGAGGGAGGCCCCACATAAGCCACTGCCAATGTAACGACTTGCTAAAATTTAAGGCCACTGACTAATAGTGGGGAACGACGTGGAATGGAAAGTACCATTACAACACGACCTTTGACGTGGCTAAGTGCCAATCGGTTCTTACCAAGTCTACTCCAACCGCGCTCCGTAGGTTGTAATGATGGCATCACTGGAATGTCGTCTTCTCAGCTCCTTCGTTATCTTAATGAGGATTGTCTTCCCAAGTATACATCTTCCGCTGCTTCAAGCCACATTTGAAGGTTGTTTGGAAGGGAAGTCACGGGTCTCCCTCCATCACACTGCAAGGCCGCAATGTGGCGATGGTTCGCAATGGGGGAGAGGGGGGGAAGGAGCGTGCCGCACCGCTTCCTTAAACACATCCCAGGAAGGAAACATAAATAATTAAACAAGCCACTGTTAATTAGGGCAAAGAAAAAGGGTCAATTTCCCTTGAGCTTAAGGAATTGTCACGATTGTCTTTTACAGAACAAACATTAGAATTTATCTTTTCCCACTTTTCACCCTCCATCCATTCACAAATCGTGTTTAGAAAGGGTAGAGTTTTGGTACATTCTCAAGGGAGTTGCATGTCATCCACATTTTTTCATGATACAATAGCGCCTTCGCAGGCGGAAAAAATTTTGCCATGACAGGAGACAAGTTAAGAAAATCAAAATCCACTGTAGAAGCAACAGGATTCTCTAAGCAGGCGTGAGTTTGAGACGGAACAAAGATTTTCACAAAATTAAGACTATTCTTATCTTATAACGACATCTCAACGTTTTAACTAGCTACTGTTCCAAGCTACTGAGTAGCATAGGAGAAAGTAAGTGTTTTACGCCTCAAGAAAGCGAGGTTAAGAATCATGTCTGACCTCAGTTAACAACTTCGTCTGGAAGCCGTATTTGCACAGAGCCTTGACAGAGACACTTGGTGGTATTTTACATTTCCCTTCTCACTCCGACAGCATTCAAGAGGAGATTTTCTGCGTGGACAGAGAGTGCATGCTCAAATTGAGCCGTTGGTGGTGCCTTCAACGCCCTCTGGAAGACTAGGAGAAGCTCATCTTGACTTTGTGGGCACAAGGAAGTGAACAATGTAGTGGGAAGAAAGGAAAGCATCTCGACTTTCCTCGTACATAAGGTGGCTTTTACATTAATTTTCGACCCACGAGGTGCATTTTATCAAGTGATGCGCATCACCCTCAATCGGTCCTAACTAGTATAAGGTGTAATACTTCGTTCATGTGATCTCATGACATTTGGCGGTCACTTTGGGACTTGTCTGGTCCTCGTACACGTGGGCTGACCTTCGGGCCATGCTCAGGCCCATTTGCCCTGTCGTCTTCGGAATGCATGCATGCATCTGCACTTGCTGACCTCTTATTCTGGCCAGGAGGTCTCGGGACGCTACATGAGGAAGAGTGTGACCCACCGTCTAGGAATGCGCCTTTAATTGTTCAAGCACTTTTGTGGTATTTATCTACTTAAGAAAGGAAAGGAAAGCTTTCAGCGAGGAAGATGAACATTCTCGATTATCCTTTGGGATCCAAAATCTAAGCAAATTAAGACCTGTTTCTTTTGGTTAGAGTGATACCATTAGCCTTCCTGCTTATTTCTGGCCGCTTCCAATCCCACACGTCATGGCGCGGCCACTTAGTTGAGCAAATACCTTCAAACGAGTTATTCATGTTCCATTAAGGCCTGGAAAGTCAAACTTATATAGAAGAATTAGCGTATAAACAAAAGTGTTGCTTACGTCCAAAACTGTACTATTTGTTAGATCAGTCCCATAATTATACACTAAGCACTCTCACTACAATCACATGGCGATCGCAAAACGCCGATTTGGCGATAATGGCCTAAGACGTAGTTTTAACTACACTGTAATTATTTTCGCATAAAATGAATAGCAAAGAAGACAATCGCATCGCCTAAATACAAAAGACTAAAGAACGCTCGTGGAATTTATCCTCGACGCATTTTGCTCCAACATTGCAGGTTTCCGTCTAGTAAAAGTAAGACAAATTCGAGGAACTGTCAAGTAAATTAATGGTAAGCGTTACCTGAAATTTGAAAAGACATCGGTCATTTGTGGTCATCGCGTTAACTTCCTCATGCTAAGGTATTAAATGCAAGGCTTAAAATAAGTTGTTCTCGTGAATTGTATCTGTCACTTAGTATCGACAAATTTATCACCTTGAGCAAGATGTCAGACCCAGAGGAGGATGGTTTCCCCTGCCAAATAAAGTATACGTCTATAGTACCTAGTAAAACTGATTAACTTATCTAAAAACGAAATGACCACTGGAAACAAATGTTATGTTTGCATTTCTAGTGATGCTGAGGAAGATTGCCTATAATACTTTGTATGTGTGATCACATGATGTCTAGCGGTCACTTTGGTACTCGTACTGCCCTTTTACTAGTAGACTGGACTTCGGACTTGGTCAAGACCCTATTTCTTCTTCCACTCCCAGAAAAAGTTTCTTCGGTAAGAAGTCTCTAGACGTAATATTAGCACACTATAAAATGATTCACACTAAATAAATTGAGGCAAAGAAATTACGAACTGCGGTAAATGCTACATTCTCAAAATTAGAAGCCTTGAAACGGACATCCGCTTTTCGGTGATGGTCGAAAGGGCCCAAGGCCACATGTTTCTGCATTAATAGTTTTCTTCAACAAAGTCTATTGTAAAACAAATGCTATATGTAAAATGATTACGAAAGCAAGACAATGCACCAAAAGCACAAACGAATCTGACCACAGTGCAGTGTAAACAGATGACAGGCTCTCAATTCGTTTCTTGCTAATTAATGAACAAACCTCTCAGCACACCTTGTAGCAAGCAATATTTATATTCGAAAATGTAAATTATTTGGCTTTACTAATAATTTTATTTAAAAGCTTAAAATGTAATTTTTTGTTTTAGTGGATCAAAACTTAAAATTTACTGCGGGCAAGGGTCTGCAAGGTCACCACAGAGTTTAAGCGCGTTAACAGAATTAAAATTGAAATGATAGCGTGGATGTAGACAGCTCAAAAATGATCGCTAAAATGGATGGTGTAAGGCGGGATCTATTAAAACTGATTGACGAATGGAACTCAAGTCGGCTTGATCTCTTTCACTTGTCAAAACCAAATGAGGTTCACAGTTTTGCGCTTAAGTAATTATGCTTTAGTATTTGGAATTTATGGGTGTTATGCGATTTTTCTTCCAAGGCGATGATATGAAGTTTCAGACGAAGTGTTTAAGAGTCTCTAGCACAATGAAGACTAGTGAGCTGATCCCTTTATTGATCGAGAAGTTTTATCTGGAGTCTGTCCATCTGGATCCTGCAAAGTGTGGGCTCTATGAACATTTTGCGCATTCTGGTATGCCTTAAATCAAGACATATTTCTCAGAACGAATGCTGGGCTTTGATGAGTATCCTTTACTTGTTCAACTAAACTGGTCGAAACTCGGTCAGGAAGGGAAATTTATCCTAAAAATTGCTGCTAACGGTTTGGTAAGTTATCTGGATTTTATGGCGACCAACTACCTAAATATGCATGAGCTGTTTTTAAAAAGCCGTAATAATATGCAACAGTTGCTATGGTTTAATATTATTTTTCCTTTAACAGGGAAACTCAAAATCGGATGGGCAACTGAACGGAACAAAGTCCAATTGTCCTCTGAAAAGGAATGTCAAAAAATCATCAAAAAGGCAATCCAAGAGTGGTGCTGGATTCGACAGTTTATTTTGCGGTCGCGGTATTGACTGTGATGAGAACGAAAACATAACACATGGTTGTGGACTCCGAATGCGAAAGCCCGATTCTAATGGAAATAAGCCACTAGAAGATGTTCTTAACTCCGAGAATCGATGTCATTCTCCTCCAAATAGTACTTTTACTCGAATGACTTCTGATCCTGAATTACTCATGCAAAAGACACGTCAACAGGTCCTGAGCTCGAAGCTTTCCCGATTCGCAGGCAAGGGATCTGATGATATTGGCAAGTCGAAGTCTCTGTGTGATTTTATTGCTCACTGATCGTTAGGTGGAACGTTAAAGATCTATGGTGAACTGGTTGATCCGAGTGTGCCCTATAAAACACTGTTACTTTCGACAAGTGATTCCGTGTCTCAGGTCATTCGCCAGGCGTTAGATAAGTATGGACTCGAATTTGCTGATCCTGCTGCATACTGTCTTATCATGCGAACCCGATATGCCAACGAAATTCCTGGAATACAAGCCTATGAGGAGATTCTTCAGGACGATTTTTGTCCTTTAAAACTTTTACTTGCCCCAGAGTCATCACCTGAAGGAATAATAACAACGTTCGAAGTTTGTCATTAAATATTTTATTGAGTAAAAATGTTCCATTTAGCTCCGTCCAAGACTGACTCGGATTGACAGACAGCGGAATGGAGCGACAAGTGGGAAAACTGTGCCGCCTTCGGCACTCACGCGTTTGCCCTATCATCAAGACACTCCTAAGGCTCCTCAAAGTGTCTGTCACGCTCCCGACAATGGACAATATGCCTCCTTTGCTTGCCTTGTGGAAGTGTGTTCCGAAGGGAAGGAAAGTCGTAAACCGGCAATCTACCCTCTTCCTCTGCATTTGGGACAGGTGAGACAACTTTATCATTCTCTCACCACGTTTTGCCTTTTTGGTGTCAAATCGGGACCTATCAGCCAATCGCCTTAGATGCTGATTGTCATGGTACTAACTGAGCACAGTAGCCTATGAGACAACTTCTGCTTTGGGTACTTTTTCGTAGTTCTGCGCTCATGCATGCTCTCGTTCTCTCTTGCACTCCTCATGTTTGCGTGCTGGCGCACACATTCACCGTGGTGGAACTGCTCTGATGTAATTGGTCTCTGCGCCACTGCCACGTCCATTTGCATAAGCGAATTTGAAGCCAAAAATTTACCCTTACTTCAAACACACTCAACACGATCTGGTAAGTATACAGCCGTTAAGGCGGTTCAATTCATTTTTAATGGAACTTGATTTATGGGAGGCTGCTTTCCTGTGTTAACCTGGCCAAACACTCCTCAGTTGTTAAGTCATTGTAATTAAGAAGTCAGATCTCTACAATTCACTCATCGCTTTAAATTATTCAAATTTGTTTTCGGATTTCGGTCTCCTCTAGCGGTCAGACACTCATCAACTAAGGTAGCCACACCTTTAACTTTTTCTTCACGGCACCATCTTACTTATCAGGAAGTGTGTTAGTGTTCTGATTAATTGCTTATCAATGTTTTGGTATTTCGTATTTTGCTTTTATCTAAACGAACGGCTGGACCGTTGAGGACTGAACCGATTTTACTACTGAAGAGGACTTCATATGCACTTTTCTACAACACCTCACTCTTCAGATAGAAACACATAGTACCAGATCTAAATCCAGTTATCATTTTGGTCGTTGACTGGTATTATTTTGTGACCATAAGCCCTTAAGGGAAAAAGCACTTTTAAGCGAGTTCAAAGGGGACCCATCACTTTGTGTTAAGCTAGTAGGTCAGTGTACTTTTCATGTGTGGTTTCTACCCTCAAATGTTGTCTATCTCTCGCAAAAAGTGTCCTTCTATGTGTCAGCACTCAATATTCACGTACGGATATTAAATCATGAAAAATTTTTCCTTAAACTACTTGATTGGCAAGATAGCAAGGAAAACAGCAAAATCAGCTCTGCTTTGGTTCGCTGCAGGGCTGATTTTGTTGACTTTCATGGTACGGAATATGCGAACCTTCCTCCTCCACGCTCTTGCCTCGGTGCGGTGATTCGTATTCGTTATTTCGCGGGTAATTTGCATTCTGTGATTCACCTGCCAACCCAATGTTTCTACCTTTTTCTTATGGCACCTGTGTTGCCCGAATTTAAATGACAGGTTCGTTGACATCCGCCTCACGGTGCGCTCAATGTTGGAACTGAATAGTGCAATTGTTGTCAAAGCATAACTTGAGAAAACAACGCCTCTGGCGCTTGGTAGGTCAGTACTGTCAATACGCCTACGAGAGGTCCTCTAAACATCGAACCAATTCTACGATTGGGCATCTCCTAGGTATGACAGATTCTTGACTTTCACTCTGTGATTGGCTCCTCAGTAATGCATCTATTTTCCCGGAATCCTCAAAGAGCACAGGTGTGGTGGTGGTTTGTCAGTAGCTTGTCTTTTCTTGAAGACATGTCCACACCTCCGCTGCTACTCCATGCCTATCTAGCGCTATGACATTCCGCCTTTTGCGTGAATTATGAGGGCGTCAACCTTGTGCCTTCTGATGACTCACTATGAGTCCATGTCACGACTCAACACTTGCGTTTTCCAAGTCTCTACTCCAGGGAACTATTTGGACTAATTAGCCCTATGAATGCTTCTTCTAGTGTAATCGTTTTCGCTTTCTTGCTCGTCACCTGGCCCCAATCACTCGGTTTACTTGGCTATGGCACAACACCTGTGCTGTGACTGGTCGTTGACCTGGCAGCTGAGGCTTATGCACGATGTCGAGATCCGTTGCCTGACGAAACCGTAGCCCCAGTTGCTTAGCCATCGTGACCTTTGGCCTCATAATGGTGGATGCATGTGAAGGCTACGGGTTAATGGTCTTTTGCCATTGACTTTCGAAGACTTTGTGACCTGTATTGCACGATTCTCGATGCTATGATCGTAGATATCATCACCCAACATTGTCGGATGCTTCCTTCTAAACGAAGTGCAGTGATAGTTCGGAGTTAAGTCTATGCCATTCCTGCACTGCAACTAACAGATCTAGTCGTGTATTACTGGAAACCAGGTGGGCTCGCATTAACTCTGAGCCCCCAGGCCTCAGTCTGTAAATTCTTCTTGCAGTCTCCGAGTGGTAAGCACGAAACAGCATTCGTGTGGTCACATTCTCCAACTGCTTTCACTGGACTTCATGCGTCGCTGATTCCAAACCTTCAATGCATACACCATGCCATCCCTCCACCACATTGACTAAGTACACCAACGCAAAAATCGCCTCTTCTCTCTTCTCACCCACGACCATCGCATCGTGGTTCGGCGGACTTGGATGCATTTAAACTTGACTCTCAAGTTAAAAAAAAACACCTCGCTCACCAATTGTACCTATTTCTGTTGAACTACTAATCGGAGTCCTTTGGTCAGCAGTGGTCAGGCTTTTCTAACCATCAGCTAGTAGTCCTGCTTTTGGATTTCCGTCACCACTCACTCACCTTGGAGGTTTGACTAGGAAGGAAAGGCAGGACATCGCTTCTCCTCCATGTCGTCCGTTAATTCAATGAACTTGATGGATTATACAAAGAGGTTTGGTCATACATTGCACAAGTGTCTAGTGATTTGGATATTGAAATTTTCTATCTATTTTTCCAAGGAATGCGACCTTTGACAAACGCAAAAGTCCTGCAAGGCGTTTTGTACCTCCCTCTGGACATTGGTGGTGGGTGTTAACATGTTGACAAGTGTACCCAACTAGAAGTACCCTTTGTTGAACTTTGGTGTACAATTTGAGAGTCGACGAAATGATACACCTTCGAAGTATCGTTGTTTGGGGCATCGTGTCTCAATTTTACTCTCTTCATACACAACTTCGCGTAGGCGGTAAAATTTTCATCACGTTTTGTATACGTTCTCTAACTTGAAACATTTTTTCCACTGAACTCTATTACACAGCTGCTTGAAGTGCTTGTATACTTGTATTCTCATTTCAGGTGTGTGTTGGCACATCCCTCCAGCCCTCAACAAAGTTTCCGCTCCTCGTAACTCTCCCAGTGAGCGTCCATCCCGAAGTGATTCCCTTCCACGTAGTTATCTGGCATCCACAGGAGACCACCACTGGTCATACCCCATCTCGTTGCTCTCCCCGCGGTTGGCTTGCCTGCGCTCCTGTGGCCCACGAGGCTCTCGCGCCTGTTCTTGTCAACGGTCGTCTGCTCACCATCCCTTCATTCCGACCCTTCACTTCCTACCGTAAACCCCGTCTGGATCAACAATCCCCCTTGGCCGTCCATTGGCTTGCCCCCGGTGACATCATTCAGTTGGGATCCGGTGGTCGTAGTCGGTTTCGTATCTGGCCCGGCCCAAGCCCTCCACCACCACCCAAGCCCTCCTCTCTTCCCTCCACTACCAGTGCTGCTGGCCGCCGATCCACTACAACCAACAAGTTATCTGTAAGCTTTTGGATGGCTTATGAAAAATTTTAAAAATGTGCAAACTGCATAAGCAGTCTCTTTCAATGAATTCGCGTCTATGCGGCAAAACCATGATTTGTGGAGGAGGAATTCGGTTCATCACTTTCTCCCACCGTCTTTGCAGGTATCAACTCCGACAAGTGCCAGAAGTAAGTGCCAATCAAGTGGCGTGAAAACACAGACACCTCAACTGCGTCAGCAACAACAGCATCGATCGCATCAACATCACTTTCAGACGCATTACAACACCCGTCGACCGACCTCTATGGAGTCTGCAAAATCGGATCTTTCAGACACCACTACTAGCAGCAGTCTTCCTCTTTCACCTACTCCACCATCTACGATGGAGATGGAAGCCACAAAGACGCCTCGGGAGTCCCTACCCGCCTCCAGTCCCTCCTGTCGCACCCCCTCGCTTGTGGCAAGTGAGTTGTTTGAAATTTCAGGGGATATGAACCAGTGGACTCCCCACGATTAAAGATGAAAAGAAGGTAGGATGACAAATGGAACCAAAATGTCTACTTCAGGGCTCATGTGAAACAATATTGCATGGTGGGGTGCGTTTTATGCAGCTTCTTGTATCCTTTCAGGCGGCTCCTGCCTGATTTTCTAATGTTCGCCTTTGATAGCATTGGCTATGGCGAATGAGCTAGTTTTCATGAACCTGCCTACCTTCTAAGTGCTTCCTCAAATGGGTGGAAGTTGCACTGGTTTTGAAGCTTCGTGCCAATTGCTCAGCATTAGTTTACCTGCTACTCATAAAATAAAAATGGCCACAACGCAATCCGTGTCGGATCAGAAATGTTACAGTGAGGTGCGTTTGTCTTTTACGTAGGTACTAAGACAACAATTAAGTTAACCGCCGGTTACGCCCAGCCTTTGCGTCTGACGCATCTAAACAGTCAACAACCGCAGGGTCCACCAACGATGCGCCTTTTTTATGTCTCCTAATCTCCTGCACTGAATGAACCTTATTAACTGGCCTTTGGTTTCTTTTGCACGCTGTGGACAAGCCACAGCGATCTCTCCCCCTCTCTCCTCCCCTTTTCTCTCATTCACTGAACGCCCAATTGATTGTCCCCCTTCTTCGGTGTTGCTTTCACCGATGCGAGGTGCTGGGCTAAAAGGAATAAGCGATGTCCTCTGCTTAGTTCCTTCCTCTCCTCCCCCTCTTTGCAATAATGTAATCAAGCTTAATGAATCACCTCGCATGAGTCTTGATGCCTCCAATAAGTAATTTTCTTGCCATTACAATGATTAATTGCTTTCATTGAGGGGTGATTTTCAATAGAGCCAAGTAGTTTTTCTCTGGCGTGTTTTATAAGGCCCATCTACGGGATTGCTGCATGAAAATAGAGGCAGCTGGCGGGAAAAAAGCTTGGAGTCGGAAGAATGTCGACCAGGAGAATGCGGGCTTCTGTGACTTCGTTTATTTGATGGTTATTTCTCACTTTGTGGCATAAGTTTAACAAGAGAAGGAATGTCGTGAAAGAAATTGCACCTCAGTTGTTGCATCCTTACGGTGTGGAAATCTATTTGGCGGGCTCATTCAACCGCCTCACTTGTGTGATCACTCCGCATTGTTTGAAAAAACACTTGCGCAATGGCAAAAGAACTTGGTGGATCCACGTGTTTGGCGTCTTCTATTAACATCAGCGGCAGAGGCACGAAGATCAAGTCTGAATGCGTCTCACATATGGCAGCTTTTGGACATTTCCTTTTGATCTTCGTGGTGTTCAGACGCGGCATTGTCAACACCCACTGCACTCTTCTCCTAGGTTTCTTCATCTTTTTATGGGAAATCTTTTTTTTTCTCCAACACGCGTCTCATGGCCCTAAAAGCGCTGCCATTTAAACCATCAGGAGGGGCGACCGAAACCACCTCACCGTTTTCACTCCGCTCTCTCAGTTCTACTGAGGATGCGGGATCTGGAGGAAGTGTGCTTTTGTAATGTTTTATGCCCTTATTTTAGGCACCAAATCCACGCACACTCGAGGATTGGAAAATCGCCACTTGATTAGGGAGGATTCAAGCTCTTCCACATCACAAACACTCTCCACATCAGGAATCGGGACTTGTGAGTCAGAGCTAACATCTATTCGTATTCAGAAGGCTGGTACTTCAAATAATTTAGAAATTTTGTCGTTAAAAGGCTATTTTCAGGTGCTGACTCTGTACTTGACATTTCATGCGAATAATCAAAAACATGAAGCTATTTCGCCATTTAAAATGTCGAACGATTTGTAGGTGAAAGTCTACATCGTAGCACTTACTTGATCGCAGCCGTGTTGAACTATTCACAGCAGATCCCAGAGGCTTACTACTTGAACTTTTTATTTCTCTCTTTCTTAAAGTAAAGAATTCCACTTTTTTTTCGAGGGAGGCCCAAACAGCTTTGTTTTCTTTGCACCTCTCCCCATGTCCAGTTGATCTTTAGGCCCTTAACAAGGTGTAAGATTGGGAACAGGCAACTTATCCATGCCATTCACTATCTCCAAATCCAAATTCTTGCTTTAAACCTCACTTCCACCTCTTCTCCGGCTGCTCTTCAACACTACTGATAACGCCCTCATCAGTAGCACCTTCCACCAAATTTAACTAGGATGAATTGTTCGAGTCAGGCTTTGTTCTCTACTATCTGTAGGCTGCTTATTGTTGATATTTTGCTTTAATCTTCGAGTTTTCTTTTCTAAGCAGGATAGTAGGCTGTGATGCTTAGAATTTGTGACTTCCTGATTTTCGTTGATAAATTACTTGGTACAGTGCTGACAAGCTGCTTTGGAGAGAGGCACTTCATTAAGTCTTCACAATTGCCATACCTCGCAGCACCTCTTCGTTCACACTGCCTTGCAAGCACTGTTAGAATGCGAGTTTCTGTCTTACGGCTTGAATGATCGCGCACACACATCGGCGTTTTCGCAATGCCCTCTGTTGCGATCGTGTTCCTCCCTTTTGCCAACTTATTCAACGACTACTAGTGTGCGACTCTAAAGTGGCTTCGTTTCGCAAACAATTCATGTCTGATGATTTCAATTGGGCTGTTTTAATTTCTGTTTTTTTTTCTGTAGGCACTAAGCATACAGACAGCCGTTCAGGCAACGCTCTGTCCTTTCGTAGGACGTCGAGTGACTCTGGCGCGCCTCCACTCCTTGATCGGTTGCCATGTCAATTGGCTTATGCACCCTCCACTCTGGACGCCTTGTTGGATTGGTTGTTGCTAGACCCCTTCAGAGCCAGACGAAGTGGTCTGGACAATGAACAGGAGGCCTCGCCTTGTCCTCTGGGACCCGCTTTCAGCGTTTATCTCATGCTGAGAGCAATTTGTCGGCAGTGTGACCGATGGGAGGCTTTGGAGAACAGGAAAATAGCATCAGCACCTGTAAGGAACGATAACTTCTTCTATTTTACCATCAAAGTTGCCAACTGCACAGTCTTATGATGAACGAACAGAAATTTACCAACACCGATATTGTTTTATGACTTGGACTCAGTCCCCCTTTTTTTCCAATGATCCTCGTTTGTATGGAATTATTTCTGACAACTGCTTTGCTCACTAGACCTCAGAACTGAAGACGAAGCAACTTATTCGTCGACAGCGTGAACTTCTCACTTTATTCGTGGCAGTGACGGATCGTCTGGTGTCGGTGGAACGCCATTTGAATGAGACCTGCACTGATGAACTCGGAAGTTCTCGTGAATCACTGGAGGAAAGAGCCGGACGAGGGGCTGCCATCCTCTCCAATATCAGTCAGCTTCTGCATTTCATCTCTAAAGACGTCGATCTCCAACGCATTTTCCAGGTTCGCGTTGTTTCTTACATTGGAGTGGATCAAAGTGGATAACTCTACAATTCTCTTGAGTTTTGTACTCACTCTGTAGTCTGACGAAGAAGGCGAATGCGGAACGGCTTGGCTTGCACTGGTGGATCGGGTTGCTGAGCTCGTCGAATCCGTCTTCAATAGCCTTTTGGCTACCCTCACTGCCCTCATTGCCTCCAAGTCGTGCCTCCCAGCACTCACCGCCTCTTGGGACCTTCGTGCGAGCACTTGTCGGGACAATGAGGTGGAAGTGGAGGAGGGAGAGGGTGAGGAGATTGAGATTACTGATGACACGTCAATATACGATCCGGTGAGTCCACAGAGCATCCTTTCCTCACAGTTTATTTATATCCCAAAACCAGTCATTCCTTGATTATTGTAATATTCTTTTGTTTATTCCAAAAAAGTTACAAATCACCTGCTCATTGAAGTTGCAAGGATTGTAAATTGGCCGTTAGCGCTTTTATCATCGTTACCACTGAACGCATCGTTTACATTGGCATCAATTAAGGTGACGACAGGACTTGAAGTGAGACGGCTCTTGGCATAGTTTGAGGTTGGTCTGTCCTGAAGATGAGTAACGTCATAACACTGGAGTGGGATAGATGTGTCCGCCACACAGAAGAGTTGCAAGTGCTACTGGTATGGACCGGAAACCACAGCTGTCCGATCAGTGTACGGTAGCGGTGCGTTCAATCGTCTGTCATCCCTCCACCCTTCTCAGTACCGTCTTTGGCGTTCCTTCCGGCCAGTCTTCCGCGTCAGTCATCACCGCTTGCTCGGTGGTGAGAGAAAGGAGCTCCCGTTTGCGCGCTCATTACTGAAATAAATTTGGTTTGACAGTTGATTCAGGGAGAGTTTTAAATAAAACAAAAAAACAGTTGCGTTTTGTTTATCCAGGTGAAATTTTGCTCCCTTTGCCAAGCTCAAATGCCGATTTGGATAGTAGGGTGTGGTTACTTACCTTCAAGGTAGACAAGGTTGTTTTGAGCTTTTGTCAGGCCATTTTTTAATCCCCAAGTTTTGTTCTTTGGGTCTACTTCTCCTGACCCCATTCCCATAGGAAACGCTGCCCTGTTTACGGTTGTTTACAACTCCTCCGCATCCCACGGTCGTAAACTCTACCTTTGAATTATCTATTCGGCAACACAATGGGTGAAGCAATTTTGCCTTTTAGGACTTCAATACTTTTTGATCCCACAGGTACTCTTAATTGCCTCAATTTGTCACTCACATTGCACTTTTGGTGATTCATTCTTGAGGTGAAAAGTTGGGCAGAAACTCCTCATTGCCATTTATGTCTACTCCTTAAGACGGACCCTGTGTTGGACGAGATGACGAAGATACTGAGAATCCTACACGCCAATCTCGTGAATCCGGCCTTCCTTGTGCAGTTGTTTGCCCGTCTTCTTCACTACATTGGTGCCCGCCTCTTCAATGGACTGGTGGAGGAACCGGCACGAGTTTCACCTCAATGGGGTCGCCTCCTTTTTGAGTGGATTCATAAGAAACTCGTTGGTTGGGCGGAGCCTCAAGGCCTTCGTGTTGCTGTCGAGTGCTATCTCACCCGACTCTCTCAGGTACAGAATTCGACAGTGCACCTTAAAACTTTTCCTTCGTTAGTCGGTTCTAAGTGTTCTGACAAATGACATCTTTGAAAGGAGTCTGAATAAGTTTGAGTCAAATTTACTGGTAGAAGATTTACAAAAGGTGAATTAGAAAGCTCTGCTGAAGTTGAGTGGTGAGAGGCATTTTCCGTAGCCTCTTGCCAAGGTTTCTTGCAAGAGCGCTGTCCGCTTCAGTTAGCCGGCTAAACTATGCCCGCTTCCGTTGCTTTCGGTGAACTTGAAGGTTTCCGCAAATCAAAGGCAAGTTAGAAGGTAATTCTCAGGATTTGTTATTAACTGAGCCTCGGATTTGTTTGCCAACCCTTTTTTTTTGTTAATATATTTTTTTACTATAGTGAATCTGGGCAACAAAAGTGCCATTTTTGCCTCTCTCCTTCCCCTTCCTGTTTACTTGTTGGTACTTCTTGTTCATCCACAACTTCAAATTCTAATGATGCAAAATTAATTGGCTTGGATAGTATGAAATTGAGGGAATAACTTGTTGTTTTCCGCCTCAAACGTGAATGACCTGACAACCAAAACACACCCGGATGATGTTGCATTTCAGCTTAGGTAGTGGGAGAAAATCGGTTTTGGAGGTGTAGACGGAATTACAGAGGTAATTAGTTTTTTCCATGCCTTCTGTGGAAGCAGGAGGCATTTGAAGGAAAATAAGAGGATCTCCCTCCTACCTCTTCATTCCTCTTTATACGTAAGAGCTTACCAATGCACGGATTTCTTAAATCATTCATAGCAACTGGGTCTGAGTGTCTTCCTGTCAGGCTTTGAAGGGGCAAAAGACCTAGCGGGGCATTTTTGTTTGCCCACTGTAGCAGCTGACAAAACAGACTAAATTGTTGGCTTTTTGGATTGCATTTTTTTTTTGGGAGCGCGTATCCCATTAGCAACTCCTGCTACCGAGCTGAGGGTGAAGCTGACGGTTTTGGAGGGTTTGCATTCGACAATCTGGAGATTCTGGAATGCCTTGAAATCTCGTGATCTCTATGCTATAGACAATGCAGGGAATTCAGACCAACAGTGTGGATGCACCGACAACTCTCTCTCTTATTCATCTTCGGAGCCAACTTATGAGCTCTGGTTCTTGGGGCAAATTTAAGGAAAAAGCCATTAAAATCTTGTTGTAAACGCTATCGAACTTGACGTTCATTCTTTTTTGAAGGCTGCTGATCTTATGCAAGCGGATACTACGACCGTAGAGAGTCTGTACAACACTGCGGTGGACTTGGACCGACTGAACTCGACACAAGTGCGATTTCTGCTGCGAGCCTACCGACCATCGTATGCGAGGCCTCTGCTCCACCTTGCCTCCTCTGATGCATCCTCAAACGCCACCTCAGAGCACATCCTTCTTCAGTGGATCGACTTCGTCATTTCTGGCGTTAGTCAGGTAGAGCGACTTGATACTGCTGGTACACTCGTGGGCTTCTTCATCTCTCTAATTGGTGTAACAGTGAGGGTGTTTTAAGTTTGTTTCACGACTGTATTCTATGCGATGGGATAGTTGAAAACGTCTTCCATCCATTTAGGTGAGCACACACCACGAAAAAGGAATCAACTCATAAAGGCGTGTTGCTTTGGTGCACCAATTTTATGCGTACTACTGTGGAAATAAATGTAATATTCATGACGCTTTCCTATCACTAGGCTTTGGTGCAGACTCTGGATTATGCATAGACCGCTCCGTGTGATCATAAAGAATCACCCAAAGGAGGCATTGGCTGTGAGTCATCGAAACACAAGGAGATCCGGTCACAGGACCACATTGCCTCATTGGAGTCGCTGCAAAACTCCTCTGGGTGCTGCTTAAGCTCACGAATGTGTTTTGCCTTACTTCTTAGCCTTCTTTCTCCTTCCTTGTAAATTCACCTCTCAGTGTCTCCGTTTTCACCAGAAACCATTTCTTCACCCTCTCAGTGACATCTTTAAGGCAAACTTAGATCCTCTTATTTCCGAAAGGAATCTTCTCTTATGCAGTAGTCGGCATAAGAAACTGTTTCTTGGGTTTATTCTCGCTACGTATTTACTTCTCCCCTACAACTGCTTCTGCTTGTAGTGGTAAAGAAACCTTCTTTAGTGGTTACGCGCTCTTTTTTCCCTCGTTCAAAATGTCTGTACTTGAAAATGGCTTAGGACACAAACTGTGAAATTGCTTTGTCCCTCCATTTAAGAAAGGCGATTTCGGGTTGCGGTTGTTCAGAGCCTGACATCTTCAATTGCAACTGTCCCATTCATTTCTTAGTCGTTGAAGTGATGAGGCGCTTATCTTTTGAATGTCTTCGTTTAAGGTCTCCGATCGCTTACTGGCAGAGGAGTCTGAACTGCCAAACTGGAAACCTCAACTTCTTGAAACGCTGGATCTTCAACTGCCACTGCTGCTCCCGGACGACTGCTACCCTTCCTCTACTCCCATCAGAAATCCTCAACTTGAACCGAGCATTCAGGCTGTGACTAGGCCCAAGGTACGTGAGGTGGAAATGGTGCCCTCTAAGAATCAATCAGGTGCCGTGGAGGTTGCTCACCTCACCGCCTTCCTGCAACCGGCACTGTTGACTGGTTGGTGCCGCCTTTCTGTGCGTCAGGTGCCCAGCCTGCGCACCGAGCCTTGGCTCTCGTGGGACGTCTACTTGGCCATTGAAAATGCTTCTACTACCAATGTCAACCGACCAGCCGAGGAATTGGGGCCACCTCGTGACAGTCCTGGGCCCAAGGTTCGAATGTACTGTAGTCTTGAAGAACACGCATGTAGTAGTATGGAAATGGATTAGATTGCGGTAGATCAAAGTCATTGCTTGTGCTCATTTAATCTCCTGACTAGATGATGTAGAAACAAGGAAACGACTCAGAATCGGAAAAGCTGCATCACAGGGAAAGTGCTGCTTCCTTTACTGGCAGTGAAATTCTAATCAGAAACGCAAGAGGCGCTTGATTTTAGCTGTACACTTTTAGACCGAATGGCAACGAATCAAACGTCTTTAGCATTGAATACGACTTCTCATTTTTAGACTCCACCGGCATTTGAGGCTCCTTCCCCTCCTCTCGAAGAGAAGGCAGAAGTCAGTCAACCCAGCTCACTGTCAAATGAATCCACGTCCGATTTCGACTCAACTAACACCTCTGAGTCGTTGAAAGCAGAAGAAGCAAGAAATGTGCGAATTTTCACTGTGGCAGTGCCCAAGATTGGCAACAATCTTGGTCTCAGCATAGTTGCCGCTAGAGTAAGTTGGTGTCCATTTACTCCTATCTTGGAATGCTTTTACCTCCTAGGTGTGGTCGGGAATTGTGTTTCACTTGCATGCTCTGTGCAATGCAGTCCGTATGACGCGATTTACTTTTTGTCACCTCTCCTCACTGCTCACCGTCATCAAAAGACCAAAGTGATTGGACTTTTTTTAACATTCTTGACGAAACATTTCCACAACCTCTACGCCTCAATTTTTATGCCCCAATTTTTGCAGTTTTTTAAATAATTGTTTATATTTCTCTTATTTCAATAATGCTCAAGTCAAAGTGGGGCGCATGTGCCTTTACTGAATGACAAATGAGCACCGCGATGTTAAATTTAATGGTTGGAGAGTCTTAAAGTATCTGTCGCATTCCTATTTGCATCCTCGAAATAATAGTCCGAAGACGGGAGTGATTTGGGCATCTACGTGAAGTCCGTGACATCAGGTGGAGGCGCCTCTCAAGCACGTTGGTTGGGCGAAGAAGAGATCGAGTCGCCACCACAGCCAACAATCGGTCCGGGCGATAGAATCTTGGCAGTAGATGGCCAGGAGACTCATGGCTTATCACAGGACGCGGCGGCACGTCTAGTCAGTCTGGCTGGCCCCGAAGTCCGTCTCACCTTGGCTCGCAATCTTGGACTGGGTTGCGTCGCTGCCGCTGTGCCTACTTGCGAGCTGCGAAAGCACAACGATCAGACTGCCTCGCGTCTCAATACCGTCGACCCTTCTGTATCGTCCAACTCATCCGTCCAGGTAGGCAAGAGTCCTCTCACATTTAAACAGTGGTGGCGTTTAATTCACTTAACTCGTCTGTATGTGGGGAACAGGATGTTCGCTGAAACACTTCGCTCTCCTTCCTTACTTCGTCTGTGTGTACACGCGTGCGGTGAGCCATAAATTTGGGTCACCAATAGGTCGGTCTTTGGGTCGGACAACGACACTGACCTCTGTTTATTGACATACTTCGTCATCGTGGCAGAGAAAAACGTGGATATGAACCATCAAACGCCATGGAGCAGTCCCACGAAGTCGGGGCTACTCAACTTTAGACCATCATTTCCCTCTAGTGTACACGGCATTTGGAAGTCATTTTTGCCTCTTATTTAAACAGTCAAAATGTACTCCTCACTTTCTCACCCCAAGAGGAAAGAAGTAGTCGGAGCGGACGTTTTTTTACCTCTCTCCACTAGATTAAAAGGTAGGTGCAGAAACACTAATGCATTTTCAAACAGAAAAGTGGATAAAAGATTCTTGTAGTTGTTTTTTTTTTTCACATCTTGATGCCCTTTTTGGACAGTTGCATAAATTTTTGTCTTCAGCTATTTTGCATTGTCTTATGTGCTTTCTTTAAATGACAACGACCATGTGTGCCAAATTGCACAACTGGATGGGTCACCGTCAAAGTGACTCACGAAGAGCTCAACGCTATGCAACGAGTTGGTGTTGTGAATGTGTGAGCGTGTATTTTGGCTTGTGGATTTCTCTCATTTGAGATGCTAGTACCAAGGTCAATGCCCGTGGGTAGGCGTACGAAAGTCCGAAAACGACGACACTGGTGAGGTTGGTGGGTGGGTGTGGGTGTGTGAGTAACCCCTCTATGGCATTGTTTTCTGCCCCCACCGATCTCTACATGCACACACACACACGCGCACTCGCCATTATGCAATCTGAATCACAGTTTTTACCCCTCATCCTGCTTTTAATCCCATTTCCACTCAGTTCCGACTATTGTGCTCATTTTCTGATGGCGTTTGAAGCAAGCGGGGGACAAGTGCTTTGTTCCGGAAGTAGGCTAGTTAACCACTTCACTTCTCTGGAGGCACTAAACTTGAGAATATCCTTTACTTTTATTGTTGCCTACTTCGACAAAGCAGAGCTTTCAAGGCGCAATTGATGCAGATTAAATTTTGAATATGGCTTTACGTCATCTTCGTACCGACTGTAGCCTACTGTGGTGGAGAACATATCGGTGATAGCGAATCCAGCAAAAAGTTTGCCGTCCCCGACGCCACAGAAAGCTTGTGCTACCGTGGTTCGTGCCGCCTCCATCACCACGGCAAATCGGCAGAGTGTGGAACAAGTAGAAGTAGCTTCGGATGGCGGCGAGTCGGTGTCACCGCCTTCACCGCGAGTGTTGGTGGAGACACGATATCTCCTGGCCCACGAGGTGCCTCCTAACAATGCGCTCCAACGCAGTCGCTCTCTCATGGCCCATGAGACAGCCGGTCGGCGGTTCTCTGTCGAGCGCGGCAGTTGGGACGCCGCTGAAACCACACTCCATTCTCAAACACCCTCCTCCATTATCGACGCACCCGTCACCAACCGAGTGCCTCTCCATCCTTTCAACAGCAAAGGTGGGCCAAATTCTCGGTCATTCATTTCACTTAGTAGTGGATTTTGAAGCAACAGAAATTGAGTGATGAATCCGTAACAGCTGTGTGAAATTCGGTTTGTTTCTGTGGTAGTAGACTTGTCGGCAGTCACACAATCCATTCTCTGGTGACTTACCAGTTGCTGAAACACCACGAGGTACCACGTCATTCGATTTATGCCCGAGTGGTAATAATCATAAGTTAAGGCGTTAATTTTTTTATTTATTGAAACACTTTGCCCCCTCACAACTGCATTGGTGCTGAGGCGCTCCAAAATCCCTTTTGTTGTGAGCGGAGGAGTTGAAAGTGGACAGGATTTGGAAATAGGGTCACAACCACGATTCATTAATGCTGACTATTCTTCATTTTGAAGTCTTGGACTGGTGAAAGGCCAAGCACGATGGATCGTCAGACTTGCACCCATATCGGTGTGCACATTTATTCTCCCTTGTTTGTACACCATACGATGACAACTTTACCCTTCAAAAAATGTCGAATGCCGTTAAAATAGGATCGCGTTGACACGTTGCTGACACGTAAAAACGCCTGTCTAAAATAGAACAGTTGTTGCTACCTGTGGCATTCTTTGGGATGGCGTTTGAAAAGCACCAAAGGTGCTGCAAACGTAGGCAACGAAGGTCGTTCAAATCGCCAAAAGTTGGTTGAATGTCTCCCTCCTGCATTAGAATGGCATCAAATCTGAACTTTCTAGCATCTTGCGGACAGTTCTGTTAAAGTTTCTTCTATGGTTTTGAAATCTCCATTAACGTGGAACCGAAGTCCATCTTAAGCATTCCATTTTGCTCTTCAACATTGCACAAATTGTAATCCCTCCAACTGATCGCATCACGATTCTTGAATCTCCATTCACCTTTCTTACATTACCTTGAAGATGAATAAGAAGTGTTTGTCTCTTCGTGCCCGCGGAACTATTTCGGGTTTTTCTTTTCCACAAACGACTAGGATGTGTAGCCCATTTGTGCCTCATAAACTTGTTTGCACGATTCACCTCCCAGGAGTTATGACGCCATCTGTCGAGGATCACTTTAAAATATATTTACACATGTTAAAGTTTCAAGGTTTTCAACACGTTTTAGCTACACCAGTAGCTAATGGATGCTGTTGTTTGTTAGTGAGGAAGTGAAGTAGATGTGTTTCTCTGTGCAGCTGTCGATCGGATTCCGAGGTCAAGCAAAGGGCCTTCACTGAAGAGCACCCAGTACAGCAGTTGGGATGAGATGGACGTGGACGCAACGGTGAGTTCATTTCCATTTTCATCGTCCTCTCATCATTGCCCCGACTTTTATTTACAAACCGCTACCTCCGAGGCGCAGCCATTACTTTGCATTCTCAAATAACTGTGCCAATGACACTCACTTCCCCGCACGCCAAGTGGGAAGCGGAGCTTCCACTGCTATGGAGTGATGCTTAAGGATGAGGGTGATTTGATGAGATCTCTTTTTGCTGGAGACACTGCAAGATAAAATGACAAGCTCTTTTTAAGTAGCACTTTATCAAGCAATTAGAGAGCACCAACGCGCAGTGTGTTCGGTGTCGGAATTTCAGGAGGCGAATGAATCAGCGTGATTTGAAGTGATGCAATCACCCTCAACTCCAAATCCCTTTAGCTGTTGCAGGATTGCCATTATGCCGCTTGTCATCTTAAAGTGGCATGGCAGATGTGCTGCTGGCCCCTCCCAACAGCCGCTTTCAATAACTGTGGCCTCGACTCCATTAGCTCGGTGCCTTTGCCTAAGAACCATTGACGAATTTGGTGGGTTGAAGTCGCTCGAATTGGAGCGCGACCTCATTTGGACTCGACACAAGGCAAAATTCTCCAAGTTGAAGTCTCTGAGTGGGACTAGTTTGCATGTTGTGCTCCCCTCTCGTTGAAAGAAGTCAGCATCCCGTGGTCGCGTGATGAGGACGCTTGAAGTAGGCATTCATCCAGCTGATGCGATTGTGGCACCATAGCGTCAACTTCTAGTTGGGTAATTTGTTACCAAAACTCAGCAAACATCCCTCCAAGCCATCAATGCAAGCTCTTACTTATCTCTCACGCCAATTCCCTAGGGAAGATGCAACTAGTACAGAAAAAGCATTTGTTTCTCATTCCTGCTTTGGTGAGAAACCTAAATAAATCGTGATGAATGAATGGAGGAATTTCACTCGCCATTTCATTTTGTCCACAGGTATTGTGGCCATTGGTATTAGCCTGATGATTAGTCGCCTCCAAATTTTAAGCCTCCTTTTTCCCAAGCACAGCTTGAGTGAAGCGGGTGTCGGTCGACGTCATTTGTCCTGCCACAACTTGTCATTCTCGTGCTGGGCATCGCATCTCGGGAGTGGTCAAATGCATCACTTAAGCTCCACTTTTGCGTCCACTACTGGCAATGATCTACGACACGTCCAAATAAGCTTTATTATTCAACACTTTCCAACGATCATAATTCACATTAGGAAGGCAGTTTGGGTACCCACGTTGTACAAGCCTTTCCGTCTCGCTAATTATAGCATGAAGTCGGATTTTGATTTACTGACCTGTGCATTTGGTGTCCACAATGCATTATTCAGACAAACAATGCTTGTTCTTGACGCTCAGTGGTAATCACTGATTGTCTGAATAGTTTCTTCGTAACATCACTTCACTCTCTTGTGGCAGACAAATTTTATTATCATGCATTCAAATGGATCATTAAGTATGAATTCTGCGTAGGCATATGGCAATGCTACTAACTCCTTTCGCCTTCATCCTGCAGCTGGAGATGTTGAAGGAGATGCGAGACCAACTGGATCGCAGTCTGGCCCTCCGAAACCAACGCGTCGCGCCTCTGCCGCCATCCACTCCACTGCTCTCCGCCACGTGAGCTTTACACCGCAACTTTTTCAATGCGTCTTCCGCTTGTTGATGTATAACCTCTCTGGTGATGTGAATGAAGCCTTTTAAACGCTTGCCTGCGTGGCAAGTCCTCCGTGCACACTTCAAATACCATCGCCGTTTGGGAAGCAAAAAAATTCACTGCTCCATTTTACTGCTGGAAGGACACTCAGACCGTTTTAGTGGTAGTCGGTACAGCCAGTAATTATGGTGGCGTAACGAGGCCTCGTTAGCCATGCCCAACAAGATGATTGCATTCAGCCTCTCCTTTGAATGTGTTTGAGGTTCTGGCACAAAACCCCTTTTTTAAAGCCCTTTACAATGCACGAGATCGCCAAGTTGGAGCATCCGTTGTAATGTGCTCTTCACTCTTTACAATTTTCGTTTATTAATTTCTATTCAAATTTTGTATTGTTAGTCAAATTTATGAACGAATGTACCACTTTTTTTGCCTACCTTTTTGTGCATGCATTGTTGCGACGAGGAAATGTCACTGCTTCATGAGCATTTGTGACTGCCGTCTTCGCATCACTCCTTTGTCCCCTTGGGGCTTCTCGGATGAAATGGCCTCCTGAAAGGCATGCTTATCATTCAATGGTTTTTTTCTCCATAATTGCATGCTCTGAGAGTTAATAGTTCTGGGTTGTTAATTTAAGTACTCTACACCGTTTTTTTCTAAAGTATAACACGGTCATGTGCTTGGCGCCTTTAAACACTGAACCCCCGTGACACCTCCTCCTCCTCCCCACATCTCTCCGGTCACTTGCCACCAGGATCATTCAATTTCCCAATCTTTTTTGTGTGGACACCGAGTGGTCTTTTGTTCCACTTGTGTCTGTGCTTGCCTCATGTGGATGGCAAGTGATAAGGTGGTAGGGAAGAAAAGCACTGTCCAAACTGCCTCACGGTTTATGTGAAAGGTGAAAAGCAATTTGACAGTCGTTGACTGGCTGTCACAGGTGAACCATCCACCACTTTCTGTGAAGTGACTTTTAAGCCAAAGACTGCCAAGAATTACATCGCCTCCTCAACTGGTAACCTATGCATACGGCAAGACAGTCAGAGGTCTCCTTTGGACCTCTACTTCAACTTAAATGAGTTTGCATGAAAATAAGTCCTTTTTTACCATTCTGCCATCCACTTCACTCGGCCTTTATTATGAATTAAAATAAAATATTCGGAAGGGCGGTTATGCCTCTCAAAAAAGGCGTTTTTGATACAGCACGATAACCAAAAGGCGATTGTTTTTCTCAAAGTCCGATGTACACATTCCGCCCGGTTGAAACCCAACACCTGTCATATGTGCTCGTAGATTTTCACCCTTTCTTAACAACGGGAGGCAAAGATTAACTTTGAGAGGGATTCTCACTTTGTCGAATGGGTTCATCGTCGAAGCCACGGAGGCTGAGGCACTGGCTAATGTCGACCATTGCAGCTGCCTCCTATAAAAACGCTATCTCTTCAGCGTCGGTTTGGCATCACGAGCGATCTTGCGGCAAAAGTGGACGATTTTTTGTTGTCTGATCCATTCGCTCCCCGTGTTTGTAGTTTTTTAGGCCACCACTGTAGTTTTAACTTGGTACTTCAAGTCCATTCGGGTGACGGAGCCTCAAAATGTTTGACAATCCCATCCGTCCATTAATTTGCATTTCCTACTCAAAAGTTGGCGGTAAAGGCATTGCTTTCCTTAATCCTCGTCCACACTCCCAAATTTGCGACATTTTTTGGTATAAACGCTATGTGCAAATAATTACACACTCTTACATTGTTCATATGCCTCCTTGGATATCCCATCCTTGGTGTTCTCATTGCGTGGGAAATGACCGAATCCAAATTGTTGCAAACTTTTCAGACTCAAACGCTAAACCTCATTTAAAAAAAAAAACGGGACTTACCCTCATCATTTTATTGATGGCTTAAGCTCTTACCTTCCTTTTTTTGTGTATAAATGGGCATTCAATTGAGCTATTCGTGAGTCCATTTTCCTTCAGTCTGCCTGTTGATCAAAATTGCATCACATTTGCGTGGCGCAATTGTGAAAAAAATATACTTACCTTATCATCATTAACTGTGAAGGCAAGTGTAGTTGCTTGCAGCCTTTTTTGCCTAATCGGGAGCAGTGGCGCCAGCATCCATTAGCTCTCTTTTCCCGTCGCATTTTGGATCGCTTGTGTCTGGTAAGGGGAAGGGACCAATTCTGCAATTCATAGCCCTCTCCCATTTCACCCTTCGTTTTTGTTGTTCCTTTCAGCACTGAGTGGAAATCGTCATATACTGGAAGTCGGTTACGTAATTGTGGTGAACCTGGACCCCTCAACCCTCCACGTACGGAGCACTCATCTCTAGACAAAACGGCATGGAAAGAGGAGGTGGGCACTTGAATGTGGTTCTTTTGTGATTTGGACTCAGTAATCCTATAATCTACGAAACAAATGCATGAAATGGGTGATAGCCGGTCATCTCTCAAAGGTGGACTCATTTGCGGTCAGTAGAGGACATTTACTGCATCATAAACCTTTTTAGATGTACCGAAAGTGGGTAAAGAACTGTTCACTGTAGTGTAGTAAAAAACTGTCGTGGTGGTGTGCACAGTCTTCTCCTGATTGTGTGCGTGCCTACTTGTAAGAACGTGCATGCCTTCTGACCCACATTGCCTGTGCGGTCGTGTGTGTCTGGACGGAGTGTGCACGGAAATTGGGTGATCGCTGAATCATGCTTACTCCGGCACACACCACAACCAACTCTGTCGGCCACCTCACTGAACTAATTCAAGCATTTGCGTTGCTTATCAGTTAGGAGAAGAGGTAGAAGATCCTTCGAGGTGTACGCGGAGGAATTGTAGAAGCACACGATCTTGTACGCCTTGGTCGCCCACTTTTCCATCGACCCTATTCGTTATCAGCTATCTTGATCTTAGCACAGTTTTGCATCTGTCAAAAGCATTAAGTCAAATTGTGGTCTCCATTTATGCATTAGTTTTATGCCTTTCATGGATAATGCAGCAACAAGTTATGAACACATCTTTTCTCTAATGCATGCGTTTTAATCGACCGGATTGTGACCTAAATATAATGTTGTCGCTAACATGTCAGTTCTGGTGCAGTTTGATTTGTTTATACGTGAACTTTAAGGATGAAGGTTAATGGCCTTGCGACCGCCAATGTTGCGTCATGCGATTTGTACTAACAGGTCTCTAGGATCTCTGCCGCAGTTGTTACTTAAATTATAAAAGTAACACTAATTTTGCCAAACAGATATCAGTCCTCCACACCACACCAGAGCGAAAGTATTCTGCTGGTATTGTACGCTCAGCCTCCACGTACTCACCCTTGATCTACAAGTCCTCCTCCTCTGTCGACGATCCGCCGCACAACCAACTTTTCTTCCGAACTCCCACAGCTACCTTTGCCAGTGGCCCAGGCGTAACGCGCTCAAACACTTCAGAGTACGGTTCTCCATTTACCTTAGGAAATCGCTTCAACAACATTAACTTTTCTCATTGTTTTCCTTTCTTCTTTGGGTAATGCTTTTTGTTCGCTGAAGCACTTACATTTGCGTGGAAGTTCGCGTCCTAAGTGATATTAGAGTTTTTGAATCGGTCGACTGAAATCCTAGCCGTCACAAAGGCGTACTTGATGATTTTACTTTCTTAGGGCCACAATATGTTTGTACTAACTTATTTTCTATGAAGGAACCGTGCCACAGCAGCCTTTACGTTATACGCTGCTCAGTGACATCAAGCGTCCGTCATTTGCTTGATTTGTCACCATGACATGGAAGTTTGATGTCCTTAGCTGTCGTGAGGCGATAAAAAAGCACACAAACGTGGTACCGTTAGCAATCAGCTTTTTAATCACTTCCAAGCTAATCAACTTCCAAGGTCTTGACCCTTCCTCAAAGGCTGAAAGAAGACGTGGTGTTAGGAAAGTGACGTACTGCGAGCTAGTGGCATGGCTTGGGCATCAGGCCACCTGGTAACGATGTAATGGCGAGGACTCGGGTAGCCCATTATCAAAACCGAGGCACAAACAAGCTATTGACTACTACAAGCTGAAATCACACAAACTGCTGAAATGGACTACAATGTTGTGAACGAGATTCTCATTTCAAAAAGTCAAGTAGTGTTCACCTCAATTTAAACTGCCTGCTCTCGACTGCACACCGTTATGCTGCTTTGCACTACAAAGCAAAGAAGCAGAAGCTCGTCCTCTCAGACATGTGAACTTTAAATTGCTGTCAAGGCACAATCTACGTGTATGATTCAGTAAAATGTCTACTCAAGTGTCAAATCAAAATTTGGGGATTTGTGAAACAACAAATTACGAAGAAAGACGAAAGGAACATTGCACAGAAGGTCAAGATTGGGCGTGAAAGTGTCTCCAAGTGAGAGATTCTCAGATGGTTGATCGAGTCGGTTACGTTCCTGCCTCGTCTGGTTCAGAAATTTGGCCTCATTATTTACAAGGTCAAGCAGTTTAGGGGCAAGCAGTTACGAATCGGAACCCCACAGTCAAACATTTTTGTAATGAAAAATCATTTCAGTACAGTGAACACTGGTGTGATGTTCTTTTTTTTCTTTTACATCCTCCTAGTCGCATTCACTGCGTCCCAAAGGCCATTTACTCTGTGAGGGTTCCCTTCAAACACAATGTATCCACAGACCATTTGCACAACCGCGGACACCCCGCCTCGGCCACTGCCACCTCGAGGTCCTACGACTTCGAGCTCGAGCACCGTCGCACCCAAAGTGCCGATCAGAATCTCAGTGGTGAGATTTATTATCTTCTTCCTCCCTCTAACCAGCAAGTTCGGCCGCAAGAAGGAGAAAACCGTTTGGCTTGTTGTGGTAGTTTTCTAGGTTCATTTCATTAAGTTTTTGTTCGCGATCATCAGACTTTGAATGAAGTCGAGTGTTGTCTTGTGAAATTCATGGTGGAATGTAATGTGAGGCGCAAAATCACGTGTGCTGAAACACTGACTCTGCCACTGCTGCCAGTACTGGGGGGTCAAGTGCCTCACAGATCGCCCTTAAACTGTGCCTTTCTCCCATTGCAAATGTCAGTAGCCAAAGCAAAAAAGGGCAAGACGAAGGTCATCGTCCCCTGCAATTTGGGTTTTCATAACTTTGCCTCCGCTGTGTCGAGCACCCCTTAGGGAGTCAGAAAAGTCTTGCCAAAACACGTCTCTACACTCTGCTTCACTGAAGTGTGCAATCTGTGTGTCTGTGCTTTGAATGCGAGCCCGAAATCGGAATCATTTCTACTTCAATGACTCAACTTACTGCATTATTCCCGTATTCAACAGTCTTCTGTTCGGATGTAAGTTTTTTTTTTCCACTCTTCACAGCATGAAATCACCTCATGCTTGGCTCAGATTCACTAACAGTAACACCGAATGTTCCGTTGTATTTCTGACTACAAACAGCACCCTATGGGGAGACTGTATGCTTCCACTGGGGCAAGTTAAGAGGGCCAAACCCGACAGCCTTGATGCAACAAGCGCATTTTAAAATGACAGTAAACTATTCGTCTTCCTCATGCGTATGCTTCACAGACAGTAAAGCGTTGCTAAAGTTTCCTTTTCCCAGAGCTGTGCATGTGCATGGTGCTGCTTCTCCACTTGTTTCCTACATTTCATTGCATTCATCCTCGCTTTCCTTGATTAAATGTGCATTATCAACAATTCTGTTGTGAAAAAGGTGCTGATTGAAGCATGGACCGTGTCGAAACGCTGATTCTATGAATGACAATCAGTTTGATATCGCCTTGCAAGGAGGTTGGACGCTCCTTCCGATTCGCATACTAATCTTAGGTGGCGACACCCACCTCTGGGGAGGCAAATGATAGGCTGGAGCGATTAGAGTAGCAGCAGCATCATGTACCGAATTCATCCAAGAGGGGTTTGTTTCGAGTTTACTGTTGTGACCTTGCACCTACTTGACTGGTAGCAATTCCGGTTTCGCAGCACTGCGAGCCGCCCCCAACCGGCAGGCAGACGGCAGCAGCGTGCAAACTCCGGTGATTTTCATCACTGTTAGTGTCAGGTACAGTGGGAGGATGGCAAGGCCACTCACATCCCAAGGCATGCCATTCAAATTGTGCATCCGTACTTCGGTCACCATCCCGCTTGGTGATTCTCGTCGCGCGGTCTTGAAGGTCCTCCTTGTGTGCTCAATCAGCACAAAACAGTCGACTATAAAGTTGTATGTGACAAATTTCTTCAATTGACCCAGAAAAGTGAATCCTCAGCGACCTTTTGAGTGTTGGCAAATAGATTGTAGCTGGTGCTTACTTCAACTCGCTCTCAATGCTGAAAACAGTGCTAATGCTGTCAAGGACGAGGAAATGAGAAACTGTTTCATGGAATGCTAAATTCATTTGCTAATCTGCATGTCTCTCAATCATTTTCATGCCTCTTGCTTTAAATTTTCTTTATTTGGCTTTGCCCTCATTAGGTAGCGTCGATGTTGGCCGACGGCCGAGTGTTGCCGAGCGTGTGAAACTCTTCCAAGATGTCATTGAAAATCAGTGTAAATAGGAAGTCTTAACGCCACCTCCATCCTCGATTCACCGCCATTGTGAATACCTCTTTCTCAACTCACATCCACTTCTCCCTCCGCCCTCTGGGGTTTTTTATTTATTCTTCACTCATCTGTGATTTTATCCTCCATCGTTGTCATTTTGCCGGTTTGTTTGTGTTTTCTTTTGTTGATTGTTAGGCTCCTTCAATCGTAACAAGACCGCCCTCCTGCGGTGCTCTCAATCACTTCTCACTACACCCTCTCGAACAAAATGGGTAAAGACATCAAACTTTCGGTACTTATATTTTTTATCTCAAGTGTTTAGTGGTGCTAAACGATTTCATGTTCTCAATAAATACGGGGTGCAGAATTTTGCTGCTTTCTTCTTTTCCACTTCGTAGTTTGGTGACTGTGATTACAGAGCGGCATTTAATGCTGTTGCTTGGCAATGCAGTAAGTCAGCTTTCTTCCCTCTGATGGGAAGTTGTGAATGATAGGAGGACATTTTGCTAGAAATCTCTCACCACTGACTTGTCCACCTTCCTTGTGTGGACGTGCTGTGACATTTTGTGTCACTTTGAGACTTTCTTGTGGGTGGTAGAAAACTGTTAGAACAGCTTTTATGCCCTTGAGGTTGAAGAAGGGTTGAGGGCTAACGCCATAACTTAGGGGTCCCATCAATTGGGTGTTGCACAATCACAGAGCACACTGTTGTTCGCACTACTCAGCCTCCTCGTCCCTTTGAGCACCGTCGCCAGTCACCCTCTTGCACCGACCAACACAATGTAATCAGGATTGCAGGAGAAGTACGCGCAAATCAACCATTCCCGTTGGCAAAGTCGCGTGCAAGGGAACAGACATTTGGTCTCAACGTCACTGACTCTTCTTGCTAATTCCAGTGGATCGAAGATTTTCTCCTATTGGGGTACCTATTGAGGGGCGGTCGAGTGTGCAGTCCAACTTGTGTGTCCATCGCTGGCCAAAATTCAGCGTCATTTAATACTTTTACGGGGATGGAATCTCGCATCTATTCGCCCTCGCTCCTTTTCTCACTTCTGTGCTACTCAGTCGTGATATTCTAGTTTCTTCGTTCTTCATTGATATCTCTTGGCAGTCGTTGGAGCTCCATAACGAATGTTTAGGAGTTTCTCGACTGGTATCGTTTAAATCGGTGGTAGCGCTATAGAACTGGAGTGGTTATCTAATTGTAACGCCAATTTTGGCGCTTCCTTCTTCACGTTGAAGGTTGCTATTGTGCAGCTGCTGTCAGAAATGTTTGGCATCTCTCACTGGGCTTGGGTTCCACCTCAATTAACCACAAATCATAAGAGGCGACAATGTCCAAATCGGGGCGAGGCAAAACAGCAAAGGACGGAGGGCTACTGTTGGTCAGGCCGCTCTATGAAAGCACAATGACGGAGGTCTAATTGACTCCCTAACTCTACTGCTACATGAAGCAGCAACTGAAACATTACAAAATTCTTCGTTAGGCAAACTTGCATTTCTTGACACTCGTAGCAGAGGCAGTGAACCTAAGGATGCATGATAATTTGATAGTTGTTTCTTAATTCCTCCAGAGGGAGAAAGTGGGTGGCGTAATCTACAATGTGACCGACGTCGACCGCTGGCAATGCTTCGCGCTCACAACTTGAGAAAGTGAAGAGGTCTTCGACGCTGCCTGTTTACAATCCAAGACAGTTGTTAAGATGACAGTAACACGTGGAGCCAATGTCACGGGTCCGTCGCTGTGTCATCACGTGGATAAGTATGCGCCATTACAACGTGTCTATTGAATGGTGGAGGAGAATTGTGAGGCGGTGGATACCGCGAAGACCTATCCCCTCATCATTCGAGGTGGGCGTCAAATAGCCAAGGTATCCTCACTGCCCAATTCCAGAACCCTCCATAGCCTCATTGACCATCTCAGAGGTAATCAAACCGATCCTTACAATGTAATTCTGCATTCTAAAGATGCGGAAACAACAGTCGAGGAGCCTTGTAAACCCGCCAATAATACGCCGGAGCAAGAGAACAATACCCCTCCCTGTGACCTAGATCTTCTGAAGTATGAGAGTACAGTCTTAGATTCCACTCCTTCTGTCTACATCACCAACGATCCCTGTCCTCATTGCGCCATTCAAGGTCTGGGCATCAGCGCACGGGACGCACGGATCAACTACCAACTTGGTGATGCAACCAAGGGGCCCATCGTAAGCCCCTTCGTGGCAGATTTACGCTGTGGATGTGAATTTCCCTGCAAACTAAAGTGTTTCCTCACTGATCCAGAGGGGTGGCCATTAAAACGACTGATAAAGCTTACCGCCTGTCTGTCCGACCTCACCTCTGCATGTGCCCAAGTGTCAACGAAGAAGGTGCGAGTGCTGCTTCGACTTAACGACCATCTTAGAAAGGAGGAAAATCTGCGAGGATGGGTTCTAATTGTTGAGGGCAAGACGCAAGAAGCCGTCTATTCAGTGCTCCGATTTATTGAAAAAAAATTGATCGCTGAGAAGATAGTGGAGTTGGTCGGGAGCACGAGGGTGTGAGGCTGGATCTGGAGAACTTGTGTACACCGATGCATGCGTTTGGATGTTAACATTTTTGAGGCTACTTTCGTTAGTGTCTATGATGGGTGATTTGTCTGTCTCATTCTTAGTGGTCTACTGTTTAACCACAACCGAGACCTGGTAAATATATTGAGGGTAATTGACAACATTGAAGCAATGGCAAAGGGCTTCTGCACGGCTTTGTCATTTACATCTGCTTTCAATTGTTTCCCTGTGGTCAGTAAAGAAAAATTTTCTAACCAAAGAAATGATTTGACAGAATTGGCGTTGTATTTTTTAAGCTGTGGGTGCAATTTCCATCCTCTAAAACACCTTCTCTAGGCGTTATAACCGATCAACTTAGGTAGGGCCGAGAGAACGATTTTTATTAGTGACCACTTTTTGGTGGTTTGTTCGAACCTCATCAGCCGAGCGTAAACAAGACGCGGATGGCGAAAATAATGTGTGCCATTGTCTACGTGGACTTGTCGGTCTTACGGTGGGCTTTAATCACCATCGCTATTGTGTCGTGCATTGGTTGAAGGGAAGGTGAAGGTGAAGGGGAAACTTTGGGAGCACCACCACTTTACCTGTAATCAAACCAAGTCTTTCTCCACGCCAACTAAACACATATCTGTGCCAGTATTTGCTCTTCCCTCGTCTGCAGAGGTGCATTGGAGCAGTGCAGCATTGCTGGAGGATGTCATGATGTTCCACGGAAGTCGGTTACAGAAATAAGTGGCTTTTACCTTGCAGGAAGAAAGCATGGAAGTAGATGTCACCTCTACGTCATCTCTAGCAACTAATTATGACCAAAATAAACAGATGGGTGGCTTTGGAGGGGTTTTGTTCAAAGAGTTCTGATCTCTTGTAATTCGACTAGGCTTTTGGTGCCAGTAATTCTACCAACACATTTCTTCTTCCCTTTTATCCCTTCCCGCTTGTAGTTGCTGAAGAGAGAGATTCTTCTTAGATCCATTAAGTTTTCTGAATTTGTGGAAATTTGGCAGTTGGTGTGAGTGAGTTGTGATGCGGACGTGGAAGGTTGACCAAAAGAAATGCAGGAGGTCACACTCGAAAGACTCAAACCATTGGCAACAAGTTGATTAATTTTGCTTTTCTTGCCTTCACTACAGCGATCGCTTTGAGGCCACCTTTATCGTATTGTTGATGGATGAGTTGGTGTCCAAGGCATATCACCAGCTGTAATTCCCGCTTAAGGATGATGTTCCCTTTGGTCTTGAAGTAAGTCGCTGAAATAGCAACAAGAAGGTGGCTTCAATTCTCACTTAGCTCTTATTGGCTCAGCTCATAATTCGTTTCCCCCAAAACTAACCAAGGAATTCTCTTGACGGTGGATGAGCTGCTCTGTTTGTGCCCTTATGCTTGAGAAGATGGAGGTTTGTGAAGAAAATGCAACGAAGCAAATGTATTTGAGAAAATCATCCTTACTATTGCTCAAAGTGCCAATCTTAAATGCTGCAATGAGTTGTCGCACCGTGTTGCCGACGTCTATTTGGAAGACTGGCCACTGCAGTTGTTTAAACTTAAACTCGATCTCTGTGTTGGGGGTGGATGCTTTAAGTAGGCTGCCTTCTTTGAGTTGCAAACCAACTTTTGTTTGCTGCATTACCACAGGTCCGTCCTGAAGAGGTAAAACCTAGGCAGAATGCATACAATTGACAATTGTTGGGTTTTGAAGCCACTGACGTGATCCATGTACAATGGCGCGATCCGCTACCAAAATTGAGACTTTACCCAACAATCAAAGTACTGCAACTGTCTGTGGAAGCTACCATTAAGTGGTCGGTACAGGAAAGAGAAACACCTACAAATTTCCGTGAAAACCGATCTCACCTAACAGTTCACCAAACCTGCGACGTTGATCATTTGAAATGAAGGTAAGGGAATGACAAAATGCACAGACCATCACCTGTGCCCACCGTCAGTTGCCAAGACACTGACACAAAGCGCAGCTATTTGATAAACACCGCTTATTTGTTGTTAAATTCCCCTCTAGAAGACAACTTTTTCTTCAGTAATGGTCTGATGGAGAAAGAGAAGACGTTGAGTTTTCCTTTTTGACCTCATAGTGATCAGCTAATGGCTCACAGAAGGTGTCGCCTCACGTGTCAGAAGACAAAGCTGACGTGAAGGCTAAAAGGTGAATGCCGCTTGCAAGCCTGTTACTATAAGTCTCTACATTCGTGCTCATGCACTACCAAATTAAGTTTTCGTAAAGCCAAGCATTTGAGCATTGACAACCGGTTGGCCACACTTTGCTCCCAAGGGTTAAAGAAGAGTCGGAAACGCAGTTTTGGCGCAAAGTAGGAGTGATCAGAACTAACACGGCCATGAGGTTCGACCTTCAGACGAGGAGATAACAGTGAATCCTCAATCGAAACTGCGAGTCAAACAGGCAAGGGATGTGGGATACCGCAGCAGACTTTATAACAGATAACAGGGAGAGATGGCCTTTTCTCCCATACAGGGCGAAATACAAAAGAAAACGCTTTTTGACCTTTAGACGCAGTAGTTGATTTACCGACCGTCTCCTTCTTCCAAAGTCAAGCATAAAAGTGAGTGTTGGAGGATTTATGGGCTCAATAAAAGCAAATTCTATAAAACAAATAATAATTTAATCATACACTATGCCTCCAGGGTATAAAAAATGTCAAGGTATGTCCTTCCTCCACAGCCTTCACTTGTCCCTATCTAATGGCTTAGTGTAACGCCCTGAGACTTCCCACTAAGTGAAAGAAGGCATCAAGCAGGGATGAGTGCATGCACTCAGCGATGAAGGGGAGAAATTGGACTTCGAATTGATCCTAAGGCCAGTCCACGGGCACAAGGACAAGATAAATGCTCAAAAGTGGCCACCAGTCATACAGGCTGCCACATTAAACAACGCATTACTTTTCCCAGTTCGTCTTCGGATCGACCTCCTCGATGCTCATCTCGATGCACTTTCTGAGCTGGCCATCAAATGGAGACAGAAGCACTCTCGAACCAGCCCCACCACCCATTAGCTACCGTGAGCCCGAGAGACTGTACTCGTTCTTCTCACCAACTTCAACTGGATGCAAAGTGATGTTCGGTCTGGAAGCGAGAATGAGGGCGCATACTTGTGCCGGTCACTGGCCTAAAGCAGGTGGGTAAGGGGAGGGGCAAAGGGAATCAAACACAATCCTGTGTGGAGTAAGGTTCAGTGTAATGTCACCTTCAACACCTCTACGCGGGTTAGGAGCGTGGGATATGGAAACGAGACTCTTCCAGATGGTTCATGGCGTTGTCAAATCACGTGTTAGTAGCTTGTCAGTGGAACATGGGAATGGGACGGCTGGCAAATGGGGGCGTCGTTCTCACCCCGTCTGTTGTGGAGGAGTTGGATATTCTTGCATCCGAGGCATGCACTCCCTTCACATTGGAGAAGTTTGTCACGAATACTGAAAGCCAGTAATGAAGTCGTAAAGCAGTTGGATTAGCTTTCCGCTAAAGAAGAAGGAGAGGTAGGGCTTTAACTTGGTTCGGCTCCAAGGCCATTCCACGCAACTAATAGTGAGGCAAATTAGAAAGTGACCTTCAGTTACACGGGAGTCAAATAAACAAGTTCTTAAATTTTATGTCAAAAAAATAGTGTTTTAATTCCTTCAAAGGACTCCGCACGGCGCCATATGACTCCCATAGGTGGTTGGTTCAGTACTGTAGTGCTATCCAAAACCCTAGCAGATAGAATAGCCATTTTGACCTCCTCTTCTGGGCGATTACTTGCCTTAGGAGGGGTAGAGCTCTAAGCTTCCCTGACTGTCGCCCTAAATGTGTGAAGACGTGCCCCCGCGGTTGTTTTCCTTCATGCCTCTACAGAAACCTGACCTTGTTAATCATTTGCAAAAAATGGAGGTTACTTTTTGTAGCTCTATTTTGGTAATCCATTTGATGCTTTCGATAAACACTCCTCTTTTTTCCCTTTACATCTTAGCCAATTTTATAGTGTTAGAAGGTTGGCTCAAGTGTCTAACCTCGCACTTAGGTATTGCAAACTTCTTCTCCAACAACCTCAGCTTAGTGGCAAATTAATTCTCCTCTGTTGTTGTCTATAATGGGCTTCTCAACCGTGGAACAACCATGATGCAGGTTAGTACCCTCTCAGTCAAGTAAGACAAGCCGTCTTCCTTCGTCAATGAACATGCACATAGACTTTTGCCATCCCGCATACAATAAATGCCAAAAAGGGTATTCGCTTTTTTATGAACTGAAACGTGTACTCATTCCCAAGTCACAAGTCACTCGGTGGGAATTCGAATAAATCAGCTGTCGAACGCTTGTTTCAACGTTATGGCCTTCCAGATGTTCACCAGCTCCATCGTCCTCAAAAGTGAGGCAAAATCTCAACTCCAGCCACCTGCGATTCAGCTTTGAATTTGCCTTTTTGTCCGATCTGCTTCGCTTTGCGTGCGAAACACCAAGAAAAGGCCATCAACGCGTAAAGAAATGTTCCGAAAATAGAAAAGAATGTGGACAAAACTGCTCCTCCCTATTAAAGCAAGATTCCTTTTAAGACCCTGTTTTGAGGGACTGTGGGCATAAAATTTTACTGCCTCTCTCGAACAGCTCAATGGGAAATATTCTTTGATAGTCCTGGCTGCATTAAAAGCGTTTTTATTGCCTCTGGAGTCCATCAATCCAAGATGATTGATGATGCAGATCTGTGAGATTAAGGGTGCCCATTTAGTGGTACACCTTTTTCTGGCTTTTAATAAACAAGTTCCTTTTAACGAGGCACTTTACTTCTCAACCGAGGTAGAATCGTTTTACTATTTTACAATAAAAGGAGGTGGCGTACAAAAAGCCACATCTGAACCCCATTTTCATCAGTCAATGGGATATAAAATGGATTCATACATCTATCGTGTAAGACTTCTGTACCAAATTTAGTTGTAAACGGTTCTTCTCCTCATCAGAAATACTTATTTTGGTAAATATCACTCAAAGGTTCCCTTAATACGACTCGCCCCTCTTTACTAGAAAAGAATGGGAGAGTCCTCCCCAATGCTTTGTAGTAACAGAATTCAACTGCACAAACTATTTTGAACGTTACTCTTCAGAGGCGGCGGGAGACGTGACACTTGCGTTGAATGCATGCATTCAGCAACGGGGAGCGAGATAGAAACCTCAAGAACGGCCTCAAAATCTTTACAATCGATCAAAGCAACATGGCCACGAAAAATGACGACAATTAGAGCCGACAGTTGAAGGAACAAGTCATCTTACTCCATTCCACCGCCTCGCCCCCTTTGCTTGGATAATAAGCGGCTATACTCCTAAAAGCAACCCAGACCTGTGCTACAATGCAGCATCCTAAGCGAATGCTGCAAGTGCAGAATAGAAATGCCCAATTGCAAACAAGTCGATAGGCCTCATTAGTCGAGGGTTCAATACGGTGAGTCTTCGCGTCATTTATGGCTCAGCTTTCTTTCCCTCGCACCGTTATACATCTTGGCGTGTGCAAGCCCTGGTCACATTGAAGTTCCACAAAAGTGACAGAATTCCAATGCTAACAAATTGCACAACTCTCGCATAGCTTTAGAGCACTAACTCAGACACGAGGTGGTAGCTCTATGAATGAGTTTTAAAGTCGACCAGAACGTCCTTAACGTTTACATAGGTCACCGTCGTGCAGCGTCCCAAAATTCCCAACAGGTTGGGAGAACGCAGTGAGTGAAATCGAATACATGTATTCCGAAGAAAAGAGAGCAAAGGGAACCGGAGCACGACCCGAAGACGACTCCGCGAGCACAAACCAGACAAAGTCTAGAGGACCGCCGCACGTCATATAGTCACATAAACAAGATATTACAGTAAGAGTACTAATCCACCTTCCTAATTTGCATAATAGTCAAATTTATCAAAACTGACTTTATGGCCTTTAGCAGTTTAAGATCAAAGTAAAGACTATATACGCGGTTTCTATTTTAAGGTATCAACGCCGGTAAGATCTGCTTAAAATAATAACTAATAATAATATATTCACAATTTTTTCTTGCAACTATTATTATATTAAACGCGTTTTATAATAAGAGGAAAATGCCATTCAACGCTGTTTTACTCATCTGAGTGCGGGTCTTGTACACACGCGCAGTGTTAGAAGTGTCCGTATCGGGTTATGGTTGGTTTATCTCAATAGGAGGAATTCATTAATAACGGTATCGTTAACGCAATTAGGATGGCACTTCACGGTAACGATCAGACACATTTTACACGTGGAGACAGTTGCGCACCTGACAATCCGATGCTGAAGGATACAAGCTCCCTATTTCATAATGTCAATCTCTCTTCCCATGTGCCTGCCTATCCTATGAATTCCTACAGCCATAATGCTCAACTTCTCCTGAAGAATTTTTCACATTGTGCCGGCAGATCGGATTTTTGTCTGCCTCCGAGCTATCACGGGCTGGGTCATGATAATCATGCTGAAGACAGCCACCTGGGAGGCAATGAACAAACGCTTGATTTTGGACATCGTTCAGGTATTGGAGGTTATGGTCATTACAATATTTCTTAGATAATTCTGGTCATGACGTGTACTCGGAACGTAGCCAGAGCTCCACCGGACATGTTGTTAGGACGCGGCGCAGAAAGGCGGGCGGGATGGAGGCGGCTCGGGTTTGTGTTGTGTGTGGTGAACCTGCTTCTGGATATAATTTTGATCGTCTTACATGCGAAAGCTGTAAAGCCTTCTTCCGTCGGAATGCCCTTAAACCGAAGGAAAAGGTGCGCTTCTTTTGTACATTGCAAATAGTCAGAATTTTAGTGCGTCACTTTAGTTGCTTCTGATTGTTGTACTTTGCGTCTATTCACCATTTAATACGCACAAAATTGTCCTTCTGAGGGTTGGTGGGAACATTTTAATAAGTCTCCAGTTTCCCTATGGATGGTTTTTGATGTTATCCCATACATCGTGTAAAGTGTGACTACTGACAAAACGATAACGCTCTATATAAAGCTTTTAGGTAGAAGTACAAACACTAATTATTAAAGCCCGTGTGGCGCACATGTCGGTCCGTTTCTTTTCAATTGTGTCCAGTTAACACAATAGCCATGTTCTCAGTCCTCCCTCTTTAATCTGACCAACTTTGAGGTTAGTCCTTCACCCATTGGCCTTGAGCCATTATCCATTATTTTTCTACCAAATTTTGTCATTCACACCTTTCTGTTTACCATTAAGCCGACATTCAAAGTTTTGCCTTTGTGAAGTTTCATTGTTGCGCACTTTTTTCCCAATTCCATTGTGTTGCCATACTTTTCTAGATCAAGGCTTGTGGTAGAAATGGCGACTGTAACATAGAAGGAAGTCAGCGAAAGCACTGCCCCTCCTGTCGACTGGAAAAGTGTCTTGCCGTCGGAATGAAAAAGGAGTTGATTCTACGTAAGTGGCCTCCATTCCAGTGTCTCCTTTTTATTTTCTCCCCAGTGTGTATACGCTAAGGCGCGTATGTCCATCCCCGAGCCCTTTTATGTGATTGGGGCAGCGAGCGCGTACCCCATTCCTCTTTCCCTCTGCGTCTTATTGACTCGATTTGCACTTTTATTGTAAAGGCATTCGTTTTTGGCTTTAGCTCCTTGTTTTATTTCACTACGTAATGAATTTGTACCCAAGTTCCATTGTATCGCGCTGCCAAAAATGGGCCTAGACCTCATTACAGTGGTACCCTAAATTATGAAAATGGTTTGCTGATGTTATCTAGGCGGCTTAGTTCGCTCTCCGAATGGTTCCGATTCAAAGGTAATGGAGAGCTTTCAGTGTTTCTGTCATCAGCTGACCTAAGTGTTTGTGTCACCAGATTCTGTTAGTTTTATTGTTTTGTCATGCTTCGCCTTTGTAACTGGTCTGTTGTGATTCTATTCGCCTCAAGGGAATCGATGCCTTAACTATATGTAAGGTTTTTTGATTGGCTTACAGGTCGAGAGCCGGTTAAGAGAATGGTCGGTAGTGTCGGCTAACTTGAGCACAACTACATTGGAACTTATCTGTCATTTTTCTTAGCTTAGCAACAAGGTCTAAATTGATTTGCTTAGGAGTGTGCAACTTCGTTCCTCGTTTTCCGGTGTGTTAATCTATGCATTTTCACTTCTTACAAATGCAAACAGGCCTCTGCCGAATCCCTATTTTTCTTTCAATATGCAGAGCTCTTAGTTGGGTAGTTCTTAAGGTCATTTAGGTTATCATTGGAACAAATAGAGGAGCTTGTATTTTCCTGCCTCATTCCCTGCGTTGCGGCCATCTTGGGAGCGTGAGGTCCTGGCTTTTGTATGCAACCATGTATGCAGGCGTGGGTGTGTGCGTATGGGTTGAGATAAAAGCACCTGCGTGTGTATGTGCGTGACAAATATATTCGCACATAAACGAATGCCTAAATGGGCTCGTTATATCGTTGGATTGTCAATTTCCTGTGTTCTCTTCATGCCCAATCTCATCGCTATGATATTATTCGTAGTCTCCACACAGCGCACCGCCCTTTTGCTTGTTTGACATCGGCTAGCTATTTTTCACTATCGCGCTTTTAATAGAAATTAAACTTCGACGTTTATACATAACCTTCTTTATTCTCTTCATTGGGTTGAACTCTCTTGCAAGCTTTATCCTTCCGTATTCAGCCTTCTTAACGCTGGGGATTGCATCACATGTCCATCGCTTGGTCTGCAGTTGCTCTAATTTACATCATTTTGTGCGTGTGCAATCGAATTTCGCCTTCCGCATTCCCCATAAATTACATGCAATATCCATTCCCTCTCGCTTCCGAGAACTTCACAACCTCATTCTCATGGAGTTTGTGATCAAAAGGCTGTGAAAACTATTCGTTCAAATTTGTCTTGGTAATTGCTCCTTTTGCAACTGCCAGTGGAATAGCAGCGAGACGCTTTCTTCTCTGAACAAGTCTTTGAAGGATAAAACTTGAAGACGTTTTGCAGGCTTTATTAAACACTGGGTTTTGTTTATCGTTGGATTTTGGTTCAATTTGAACCAGAACGTTCCAATAGGCTTCATGTCCCTCCGATACGTCAATATTGCCGTGTTGGCATACCCTTCGTCGACCAAAATGAGTTCTTTGTTGTCAACAAACAATGGCACAAAATAAAGCAGTGATAGGGTTTAGCTCACAAAGGTTAACTCTATTTTGCAGTTTTAGCCATTTACGAAAGCCATTCCCTGACACCGGACTGAAGCAGAACATGGCAGTGTCTTGGCTTTCCTGCCTTCAAGATAATTTTTCCGCTCCTGCTGTAGCAGCGCCGTTGGCACTTGTTCACTGTTTGTTTTTCCCTCTTTGAAGTCACGCATTTTTATCATTAATATTCCCCAATCTCCTTCCCTCACATCTCGCGCATTTGGCGTTATCAACTTCCTCTCAGTCGAATGTAATTAATGGTCATCTCGATAACTACACCGGCGAGGCTTTTAGGCATGCAAAGGTATTTGCTTAAGTTACGGTAACAGTATTTGATCCGTGACAGTTCTTCAATCTTTTCTTTCTCATGCTTGTTTCGGTAACGCTTTGGCTTGGAATTTCCTTTTTAAGTAACAATGGCATTCGCGTGCCGGCTGTTGATCCCTCACCCCTCCCCCTATTTCCACCAAGTGGCGTCGCTTTTCGCCCTCTTCATCTCTCAATTGTGGTGATTAGGTTTTTTTTGCTTGTGCGCCTCCTTGGTTTCATTCTGTTTCCACTTTGGTCATTGTTTCCCTCGCTATCGGTCTAAATATTTTACGTCATTGCATTACATTGCAGAGGCTAGTTCAGAAATCAACTGTTTCTCGTGCATTTTTTTTAATCTCCCTTATTCCCTATTTCACTACTTCGACCCTGCCTCATCGCGTCTACATTCTGCTCTATCCTATTGGCTTACAAGGTGACAAAGTATCAGTTTTTGCCTTACACGGATAATGACGTTAAATTAACAAGTTGCATCCATCAAAAGCTTATTGTGGTCCTCACCTTAACAGTTCATTTCAATGGAGTGATGTCTCGCTTTAACTAGCTGTGCCAGACGATAAATGCGACTTGCAGCCATCTTTGTTTTGTGCCGCTCCGTGAGTTTCCAATCGCATTCGTCCCAGCGTTGAATCTTTAGGGTGGTCAGCTCTTTGCCGATACCCTAGTGTTTGTAGATGTGGCGCCGTTGCAAATGGATTACGTTTTTTTGTCAGTTCAGGGTGGCCACCAACTGCGGCAAATCGTGACACAAATGAAGGAACTGGGTTGAAAACAATGGTCTAGATGTCGGGTGCTTTTCATTGTGCAGGATTTTGACGTTTGGCGTCGTGTTGAATTGATAATGGGTGTGGGCCGTGGTGGTCAACTTTTCTAGCAAACCATGGTAATTAACGTCATCTAACGGCAGTTTTTGCCTTCCGTTGAAAACCACTTGTCCTAACAGGTCGAAATTGACTACCAATGCAATGCTAACTGACGCTACTGGCGATCACACGCCTAATGACACCTCTGCTCACAACGTCACAATCTAATTCACCGAGACAAAAACGATTCGCTATCTCGGGTACCCTGGTCCCCCGTTTTTTTTTTTTTGGCTTTACTCTTTCCGCCTGACGTGCACACCTTTCAATCGCCTAAATGTTTGTGACGCCCTCTTTGCTTGCAAAGTTCGGGCTTTGTGTGTTTCGTGCTGTGCATGCACACGCTCTCCAGCACCCTTGCAAGTGGCCCATCTGGCGATGTAACTTGTCTCGTGTTCATGATCTTATCTTGGAGACGGAAAAGTCAAATATTTGGTACCCCTTCCAATTGCATAGGCGCCTGCGGACTCAAATTCTTCTGCTTTTGAAGTTGGTTTAGATTTCACATAGACTCCCAGGCTCACTTGAGCAGTCTCAGGGCCAAAAGGTACTTTGGCCTTTCTTGATCTGATCTGCGTACAATATAACATAAAATTGTGTAGTGGATTGTGAATAGTCCTTGCTATCCACATTAGGCAGACCGGGTGCGAGAGAAGGCTGAGTGAGCGACCAAGTACCACAATAAAGGTCGTCGTGTTGCTTTATTGTACCCATGCATGTACGCACCTGTGTGTATGTGTATGTATACGCCTGAGTCTGTATGCTCTCGGCTGCGGCGTCTCAAGTTCTGTCCGTCACAAATGGCTAAAACGCGCACGGTTCGCTTTCCTTATACCTGACTTGTGAGTCAGTCCTCACCATCGCCTTTCCCCATTACCTATTGGTTAGGCTGTTTACTCAATTACGCGTCTTTCCTAACATTCAAGTAGCCGAGGCTTTGGATCCAACACGAACTGTTCATCAGCTCACCTCCCCACTGCAAATGCTTTTGATCGCAAAGGCGGTACTTTGATTCTAGAACTTCATTGACGCACTGTGCGATAATCACTCAGGGATAACACTAAGCAGTTAAAATGGTTATTTGTGAGGACCCGTTGCACTAAGTTTGGTTGGCACTGGGCATTGGGATAGATTTTAGTAGTACTCGCTTATTGTACTCCCACCATTATTTTTGAATGTGGATCTGAAAGGATTCAATGTAATCTCTCAATAGGGCACTCTGTTATTATTATTCAAAATATCTGGAAAATTAAAATTTTGCTATTCTCTAAATTTCACCATTGCCCTTTTTGGTTACAAGGGTACTTGTTTTACCATAATCTTCAAGATCTATAGCTGAAATACCCGCTTTGAGCACCTGTAAGCGTGCACTCTAGTGATTGCTGCTATCACGTTTTGTTACACAGAATAATGATTGGGAGTTTGTCTCGTATGTCAAGTAAAAATCACCATCGGCCTTGCTTTTCGCTAGCCTTAAACGCTCACCGGTTGACTCCTGCCCTCTGCATTTTCTACGGCAGCATCACCGTATGAGTTTGTTGCGTGCGCGTTGTCACGGTGTTAGTCTTATCGACCTTGGGAGGTGCACTCCTTGCTCACTTTTGTTTACTCCATCAAGTACTGACACCCGTACTTGCATTCACCTTAGGTCTACTAGATCGCTATGCGTTGTTAGCCAGTACTTAAACTTCAAACGTCGCGTGAAGACGTACTTCGCTGCGTTTCATTATCCATCCGTACCAAACGCACTGAGGTACATGCGTTTGTGCGCGTGTGTGCGTATGCATTTAATCTCAAAGCATTGGCATTATGACCCTCGTTAGCCCATAAATTATTTATAAATGTTATAAACTGTGCGTGCTTATGTACGTACACGTGTGTCCGCTGCATTCCGTTACGCGCGGTACGGATGTGTGTGTGTGTATGTGCAGCGCTTTGTTGACTGTTGTTTCAAATGCCCTCTCCATTTCCCCATCACCTCTCTACTCACTCGTTCTCTCTCATCACTTACAAAGAATAATTATCCGAGTTATATGCTTGTGGATACAAACATGTTAAGACCAACGTCATCGTCCTCAGACTTAAAAGTTTTGTTTGCTCAGCACTGCCCCCATCTGCCACAGCATCTGTT